CCCTGGTAAATGTTTATTAAATTTGGCTGCTGCCCATCTCACTACAAGACAACTCTCGGTGGCTTACAAACATTGCATTACAGTGAAATAAGAAGGCAGAAGCGTAGTTGAAAGAGGTACCTGCAGCTGTCTTATCCATGTTTAGCTAAATCACAGTTCACTCAAACCCTTGGCTTGGCAGAACTCACTCACCCCTAACCTACTTCTTTTGTACAGAGCGTGGTTGACTCTTGGCGGTTCAGAGTGTCATGTAAAGGGAGCCACAGAAAGGCAGGGAAACCTCAGTAGAAGGGAAACCACCTTGCCCGGGCAGGGAGTCCCTGCACAGAGGCAGGGATTGCCTGAGGAAAGCCCCGCCCTTCGCTTGGGAAAGGCTCAGCCATCCTTCCTTCCTTCTGGGTGAAAGGCTTGGCCGTTCTCCCCACAGCAATACTGCAGCTGATATGGAAGAGGATTTACGATGTGGGTCTCCATGCTAGCCTGGCTGCCTCTTTCCCTCTGTAATCTGTGGAGTGGGCCAGCCGAGACTCTCCCCGACAGCTGTAATCTTCTGATCTACTCCAGATGTGCTTTGGAGAACATCTGGTTATGGGACTGCTTGCAGAAGATTTGCTGAGCCAGGATCATCTGGTTTTCCTTGGCTTTGAATTAGTATTTGAATTCTACCACCAATCAGCAAGCCTGGCGGTAGAAACTCCGGAAAAAGTTTTGAGCTTCTTAGAAGTCTGAAGCTTATATCCATGTTTACATCAGGGAGACAGAATGGCAAGACCCGGCCTGGTGACCGGGCGCCTGCTTGGCAGCCCCAAAATCTTCCTGGAAGGGGCAGTTTCTGCTCTGGGACCTTTGGAGAAACCGGGGCTGAGTTGGGTGAAGAGAAGCATCTGTCTTCGCTTCTCTGGAATTCTCCCCATCCGTCTGATGGACACCCTTTGCAGAATGGCGCCGAGGCTGCTGAGTGCAGAACGTTTGATGCATTTCAGGCGGCAGGGTGTGCATGAGTGTGGAATTGACCCATTTCTGGACCTCTGACAGCCGAATGTGTGAATTCACTCCTTTGCGCTGCCCGTAATAATAGCACTCAAGTGCCCTACTCTGGAAGGTACCTTTAAGTTTTGATTCAGTTTTCTGCACGTCTAAATGAATGCAAATGCTGTCCTTGGTTGCTGGGTCCATGAATGTACAGTAAGCAGGGAGGAACGATCCGTGCCGCTCTGTTCCAGCAAGGTGTTTGTCCCAATTCAGTAGGAAACAGGAAATCCATGGTCCTCTGGCGGAGAACATATTCAATGCGCTGGGGCAGAGCAAGTGAAAACACTGCAGGCCTCCAGAAATGCAGGTCATGATCTGAGATAAAATTCCTGCTGCATTGGCTGGGAAGTGCTGGGCGGGGGGAGGCACTGGAAGACGAATGCCGGCCATGAATGGAGGCATCTCTCTAAGTAGAGCAGCCGCGTATAAATTTAGCAGCAAGCCAATAATCTGTCCTTCTCAGAACAAGTCTTGCAAATGCGCCCCGAGGACACAGTCGTGCTCAGAAAGAGCTGGGTGGATTTGCGAGTCCCACGCAGCCCACAGAGCGTGTGGCAGGAGGAGGGGGGGGCTCCAGGCTGAGCTCCCGTGGGCAGGGAGGGGGGAATAGCAGGAACCAAACGGGTTTAAGTGTAAACTCTTTACCTTTGCCCTTGTAATCTGTTAGATCAAGAACCGCTTCCTCTGAGCAGCTGGTTAATGTATAACCCCAGAAGTTGAGAAGCTTGGGGGGGGGCTCACTCCTGGGTACATCTGGAAAGCTGCTCTGATGGTCTCCTCCGCTCTTCCATGGGGGTCACACTGGCTGACTTCAGACTTCTGACAGTCTTAAACAAGGCATATCCTGGGGCCCTAGAGGAAGTATTAAAGAGTAAGAGGTTCTTCTAGGCATACACAGAGTACCTTCCTTTTCCACTTTCCCCATCCTGGCACCTTCGAGTGTGGCCTTTGGGGATCTTGGGAGGAAGGTGCCCATAATATGTGCCCTTCCCCCCAACCTCTGAGGTGGGTAGAAAAGTAGGTCAGAGGGAACACTCATTTGGGATGTAACTATTATCAAACATGTACAGAGTTTATTTTTCAGGGCGGCTGGCATTTTAAAAATAAGGCATCATTAGACTCTGGTATACAGCTTGTTCCGGTTTTGGCTGGGGCTGGGTGTGAGCGGCGTTTGTTCCCAGCGGCAAGAAACTTTCTAATCCGGTCGGTTGTTTGCATTCCACCCAGCCTGGCTCATAACCACAGAAGGAAGAGAGCGCGAGAGCCCCTGGCAGCCGCCACAGTCAGATCACACAAGGCCCGGCCAGCACAAGGCCAGACACAAATAATGACAAAGTGGGACCAGGACATTTTGCCTGGTGACCAAATATAGCTTTTGCTCGCCTGCCCCACCAGCAATCAGATGGGCCAGGCTGGGCTATTCTGGTTCTTGCCCTGCCCTGCCACCCCCTGTCTGCTGTCTAACCAAAGGACCCCACAGGATGGAAAACCTGGGGCGCCCAAATGGGCACCCCTGCTTTGCAAAGTCTTTGGGTGGAGCGCCAGATTTGCAGGAAGTGCTCTTAGGTAGTGACAGGTAAGTCTGGCAGGACACGGCACCCAGTGCCTTGAAAGGGTCAGTTTTCCTCACCTGAATGCAGTTCAAATTTAGCTGTTGTAGCTGGACATCTGGGTGTTGTAGTCCAAGTGGTTCCATGCTGGGGATGCAGTGGGTCGTAGAATCTTGGGTTTGGAAGATTTGGGGGGGGGAATCTAATCCAGCCTTGTGCAGGAATCCTCACACCATCCTGGGCCAACGGCTGCCCAACTTTCCTTTGAAAAATTCCACTGGTGGAACTGCCTGGAGTTCAGAGGGGCAGCTCTCCCATTG